GCGGGGAAAGCATATGATTGCTCTTTCTGCCAGATTACAGCGACCACACGTCTACCTGCCAGTTCACCTTTATGGCCAACTGGTGCACCATAAAACAGGCTGCCATTTATTGGAGTCTCAGGTGAGTATAATAACTATTTATAACTTGAAAGATTTTAAAGAGTATTGTAACTCTTTTGAAATATGTTTTAAAAGAGATGGCATTTAAACAGTCATTGCAAAATAAGTAGATTATGAAAGTCTCAAGTTAATGGGGCCAAAAAGTTGTGGAGACAGTCTTTGCCATCTAGTCTCATGTAAAATTCCTTCCTGACCATTGAAATATCAGAGAAATACCTTGCAACATTTTTCTTAAAATAGCTAGCAAAAACTTAGAATGGAAAGCAACTCACCAATAGAAATAATTTTTCAGTCTGTGTGTGAGTGAATTGTATATTGACAAGTAAAACTGTGCCTATCCTTTTATGCATACAAAAACACGGAGATGAGGGAATAAAATCTTCTTTGTAATATCCTGAAGTGCTAAGAAAACAAACCCTAAGCCAATTCATAGTTGCTTAAATGAATTGACTTTTAATGTGGGTTTGCAAGATGATGTAATGAATTGTATATAATAGTCGAAAAGTTAAAGAGAAAGCTTATATGTTGTAGTGTGTTAATCTGATGAATCTGTTATCTTTATAAAATCTGAAATAACCTGATGCAGTCAGTGGTAACATTAAAATTTTCTACCTGCATTATCTTTGCTGTTAATTTATGGTTATTTTGCTAGAACTACCACTATTTTATTTTAGGGTACATACTTTAAATTAGCACTTTAACTTTATTAAAACTGCAAGAGAACCTGTTTTACTGAGGTCACCTCCTTTTCATTTTCAACTGAGTATTTTTTTTCTTCCGTTTTTCTCCTTCAGAATATTGTTACAGATCTAAGTTACACTATTCATTCCCCAATGCTGGATAAGTGGGAAGGAATTAAGCAGCTGAAAGCAGCCCTTTGGGCCTTGGTTAGTAATAGATTTACAATCTTTTTGCAGCTGTTTGAGTTCTGTTATGACTCTTGATTCTGAAATAACTAAGCAAAATCCCTTAAAATCATTATTTAGGGTTTTTGTCATAAAATGTGTGTGACTTTCCAAGTTAGTGGAAAGTACCTTAACTGGACTTTCAGATGAAAATTGTTCACTGCACCTGTTTTGTTCTGAGTCTTTTAATAGTCACTTTGTCTTTCTTTTTGGGGGTTTTTGGGGGGGGGGGGTGGGTTT